ATATTAAAAAGAAATTTTTATGTTTTTTCCAAATATTATTTTTGAAAGTTTAAGGAAAATTTTAACTAATACATGTTAGAAGATTATAGGATTATAATACGAAATTTTCAACAAATTGAATCAAATGTATTATGAATTAGTATTAAGGGATGTATTCATTATCACTTACAAATTTTCACACGAAATGTATTTTTACTAAAATGCTTCTAATCCTATGATTAGAAATATAATCTAAAAATGTAATATTTGCTACAAAATCTAAATTTTTTAAAGACAATCATATTTATACCCTACACCTTAAAATATACCAATCGGCTCAGAATCATTTTCTGAGTCGATTTAGCTATGTCCGTCCGTCTGTCCGTCCGTCCATGTAAACCTTGTAATCAAACTACAGGTCGCAATTTTGAAGATAATTCAATGAAATTTGGTACATGATCTTCTATTATCCCAGGGACGAAGCCTATTGAAAATGGTTAAGATCGTTCCATTATTTCACCTAGCCCCCATACAACTGAACCCCCCAATAGGGCTTGTAAACCTTGTAATCAAACTACAAGTCGCAATTTTGGAGATAATTCAATGAAATTTGGCACATGATAGGGCCGAATAGGGCTTTTATGTTCATAATTATGTTTAATATACTCATATTTCGACATTTGGCATATGATCTTTTATGGTACCGTAGACGAAGCCTATTGAAAATGGTTAACATCGGTCCATTATTTCACCTAGCCCCCATACAACTGAACCCCGAATAGGGCTTTTAAACTTTGTAATCAAACTACAGGTCGCAATTTTGGAGATAATTCAATGAAATTTGGCACATGATAGGGCCGAATAGGGCTTTTATGTTCATAATTATGTTTAATATACTCATATTTCGACAAAAAGCTGCAAAAACCAAGTTCTATACAATATTTGATGACCCTCACGAATTCCATAATAATAGGTCCTCATATGAACCTATCCCCTATAAAAAGCCCCCCTCAAAATTTCACTTAAATGTCCACAATTTTATTCAACAATAAACGGCTTAAGTATGTATATCTGAGGCAAGGTGCAATTCAATTTAAATGCTTTATTATGGCAAATAAATCACATTATATTTTTGTCAAAGGTGTAGGGTATTATATGGTCGGCCTCGCCCGACTATAATTTCTTACTTGTTTTTACGATACTCTTATTCGCATTAAAAATCAGTTTTAAACAAAACAAATCTCCTTTTATACCCTACACCACAATAGTGGGAGGGAATTATGCGTTTGTGCTGATGTTTGTAACACCCAAAAAAAGTATACCAATCGGCTCAGAATCACTTTCTGAGTCGATATAACTATGTCCTTCAGTCCGTATGTCTGTCTGAATGTCTGTCTGTCTGTCTGTCTGTCTGTCCATGTAAACCTTGCGAGCACGGTACAGGTCGCAATGGTCATGCCTGACTATATATTCATACTTATTCATTATAAATTTTAAAGTTTTGATTCAGTGAAACAAATTTTCTATTAAAAATCTAATCAAAAATGTTTCTAAAAATCCCAATTTTCACTAGAAATAAAAATTTTCATTAAAAATCAAAACTTTACTATTAATAGTCTTATTAAAAATATATTTTTGTTTAATAAAAATCTATTTTTTTAATAAAATATATTTTTTTCACAAAAATCTACCTTTTTATAAAAGTAACTATTCCAATAGAAAACTCGAAATAAATCTAAAACACTCACGTTATGTTTAAACGTTAGTTTAGTTAGTTTCAGTCAAGCTTTCATAATTTTAAAGTTAAAATTTAAAAGGAAAACTAAACATTTTACTAAAAATTATTACGTATACTTTATTTAAACTAATTAATATTACGTATACGCCTCTAATTACATTAATTGCATATAACTTATACGCCTTATATATATGCATGTAAAATAAGTAATTAATTCAATTATTCAATGAAATATAATAGCAATAGAGTAATAGCATTTCCTTATTTTCATCCAATTAAAACTTTGTACATATTTAGTTATTATTAGTTATAATTAAAACTTTTATATAATTTTTATACAAAAAATTTGTAGAAAAAAATTAAAAAAAAAATTCTTAAAACTAAATTTTTTATGTTACAGAGATGTATGTATGGTTATAAATAGCATTAGAATTAACTAATGCTAACATACTTAAACTAATACAATTAATATCACTCATACGCCTCATACATCAAATACATAATAAATTCAATTATTCAATAAGATTTAAAAATAACATTTTCTTGCTTTGTTTCAATTAACACTTAATTTTGTTTATCTTAAATAATGACAATTTTAAGCTTTTTGCAAAAATACAAATATAAAGTTAAAATTACATTTTCTTAAATTAACATCCATATAGAGAAATCTTATGAAAATCTTATATTATCTAAAGTGTTGAAAATACTTTAGAGAAAACGAAAATAAACTCCTTATAGTATGAGACTTGTGTTAAAGAAGGAAAAACTGAAACATTTTAATTTTTAAACAAAATTGTCTGTCTTTGCTATTTACAAGCATATACATACATACATATCTATATGTATTTTAAGCACATGCCAAAGCATCAAACCATAATAAGCTGACTAGAAATGATGAGCCACATGAAGAAGAAAATGAAGAAGTTTTAGATATACAAGACACTGTGTCTTGGATAAAATGCTCCTACAAAACTAAAGTATATAAGAATAATCTCAGTACCCATACTTTCGAAATGTTTGTGTGGTAAAATATCCATGTCAAGAAATATAAACTACAAGACATCAAACTAACAACATTAAATTAAATTTTCTTTAAATAAGTTTTAAATAAGTACATGATGCTGAATAAGCAAAAGATTTAATACTAATGCTCAAATTCTTGCTCAAAAATATCTATATTAAGGCGCACCTTCCTCAAGAGAAAAAAAATGTTTTCGGCCATTGTATATCAAAGACTCTTCCTCTAACCTTTCAATATCAAAGAAAGTTTGAGAAAACTACATATAAAATATTCTTAGATTTTACAAATAATAAATATTACTCATACGCAATCCATTTCATAAATTCAATATAACGTATACGTCAAATGTGTCAAATAAAAAAGTTATTAAAATTTTATAAAATTTTCCTTTTTCCCACTGATGAGTTATTGTTCTTTTTGCATAAAAAGTATGCTTAATATGATTTCCTTTAATTGGATTTATTAGGAAAATTTATATTTTTAGTTACCACCCTAATCTACACATTACATTACACATCACACCTACAAATAAGTCTACTTAATATCAACCATATAATTTAGTTATATGTTGTTGTATTTTCTTAATACCCACCGAATACAGATGTGGTCACATTTGTTAACTTTAACATTAGTTATGTGGGATCAAACCATTATTTGCTAGAACCTTTAAAATGAAAGACATACACATACAGAAGGACGAACACGCTCACATACATACTTCCTTTAGACTAAACTTTAAACAATAAACCATCTGGTTTACCTTTGTTAACTAAAGACCTCATATAATAACAACAACAACCATAACATTAACATCATTGTTACTGCTGTTGTTGTTCTCATATTAAGTCCTCTGTAACTCATAAACAAAGGTGTCTTCAACAAAAAAAAAGAACCGAAAAAATTCCATTTTACTTATTTTTCTTTATCAAATCACATATGGTCACGTAGATGGAAGCTTAAATAAATGCGTGGGAATTTATAAATAATGGACAAAAGTGTGAGACTAAACAAAGGAGCGATATGAAAAGAAAAGAACATATGGAAGAACCCACTTCATTATGACAGAGATTTAGCAGTACTGTTTGTGGTTAAGTATAACAAATGGTATGCTAATTTACAGTTGAAAAATTTATGGTTTATACACACATAGATGTAATAATATGAGCTTGGAGTAGAGAGGAGCCAAGTAAGATTTCTTAAATTCTAAAATGAGTTGTAAAATTGTTAATTTCTTAAAAATTTTAAAACATTCACTGCCTTACGTTATTCATAAAAATTTATCAAAAGTTTATAGAACAAAATTAGTATGAAAATTTTTCTTATAAACTTTTGATAAATTGTTGTGAAGTTTTTTAGTTTATGCAGAATATCATCATGTTATTCCTGAGGGAACCTTGTATGGGACATAGGGTCAAATGAAGTCCGATCATTATGAAAATATCATTAAGACTTATATAAAACTAAGTTTTGCCAATTTTTGAAGTAATACCAGAACATTTAACATATTTATGAGCCCCACACAACCCCCTATTCGGGGCTACGAGTATGTGCTAAATTTTATCAAATTATCTTGAAAATTGCGACCTGTAGCGTGCCCACAAGGTTTACATGGACACACAGATGGACAGACAAAAAAACGGACGGACAGACGGATATAGCTAAATTAACTCAGACAGTGATTCTTAGCCGATTGGTATACTTTAAGGTAGGCGTAGGACCAATATTTTTGGGTGTTACAAATATCAGCAAACAAACGCATAATACCCTGCCCACTATAGTGGTGTAGGGTAAAATAAATACCCGAATTTACTACTATTTTTCATTCGCCCTCACATCGCTTTTCATTTGATATGTTTCAAATTATTTATCAAAAAAAATTATAATATTTTATCCCTTTGACATGTATGTGAGGTCGTATGGTGCGTATGAGTAATAGTATTTGAATTACATAAAGTATACACAGCGCAGACGATTTAGCGATGTCCGTCTATCTGTGCGTAAGTTTGTTGAAAGCAATTTTCTGAATATCTCAGATATCTAGGCTTTCAAAAATCAGCAAAATTGATTCAAAGTTTTTTAGTTGACCTTAGAGGTGCCTTATAAGGCACTATGGGAAAATGATAGAATGTGAATAAAACGTTGAAAGAGTATGTCACTTTTCGCCGAAGTATTATTTTGGTTATAACCCTACTCTACATAAGACTCCAACAACTTTAAACTAAATTTTCGAATCTAACTTTAAACCAATTTCTTTTCACTTACCTTGTACTAAATATCGGGTCCTTTCAATGTGTGTCGTTAATCCAAAAATAAACAGCATTGTCAAATATTCCAGCAACATTTCATGTGAATATTTTCACACAAAAACAAAACGAATAAATTATAGAAAATTTATTACGAACAACTACTGCATACAACATATATGTAACAAAAAAATATATACAATTACAAATTGCACTTGTGTATGTTAATATGAATGTATAAGATTTTTAAAGAGCTGCTCACTCTCACGTTTATAATTCACTTTATTTTATACGGGTGAACTACAATGACAACGACATTGACATCGTTTGTATAATTAACATTACGAGTGATGGTGATGATGTTGTTGTTGTTGACAACGAGCTAGTACTCACTCATACACTTTCAGTTAAGAGCAGCAGTTGTTTAAAAACAAAATGGTAACGGAAACAGGAAACAGGACACACAAACTCTAGCACACTTGCTTAATAAACACTTTTGTTATAATTTTTGTTGTTATTATTATTTAAATTTCTTTGAGATTTTGTTTTTCTTCATAAAATTACAATTTGTTGCCGTATACAATTTATATAAAAATTTGTATGAAAAAAAGGAAAATCTTTCAATCTGATTAGATTTGTTTCGGTGTATAATAAACAGATACTTCGCTTACGTTTTAGGAAGAAGGAAGTAACTGGCAACTGTTTATTTTTGTATTTTTATTTTTCTTCTTAACGCACACCCACTCACACTTTCACTTAATTATTCAAATTAAATGTGGCATCTAGCGCCTAAAAGACTGCTAGGAAAAATTTTTCTTATCTTCTTATTTACTTTATATTTATTTTGTTTATCTTTTACTTTTTTTAAATTTGAGTTTTTTTTCTTTTTTTTTATTTGTTTCTTTTGTCTCCTTGTAACTCACACTTCAATTAAAACAATTAAATTATGCTTCAGAGTCGAGTAGCAGCAACAACAACCGCCGACATTTGAGATAATTATCCATGAAATACAAAAATTTCGTTTCTCAATGACAGCGAAGTTTCAAGAGAATTTTCATTTTTTTCAATTTTCTTCTTTCTTTTCTTGTTATTATATACTTTTATCATAAATAATATCTTTTTCTTAGTATTGGAATTTTTTTAGATATTTTTTTGCATTTTCTATTTAATTTGATTGTTTACAATTCCCCTGGTTTTATAAAACTTTTTCCTATCAATACTTTGTCAACTTTTTTTATTTTGTATAAATTAGAATTCAATATTAATTCCTCCTTAAAATAAAAAACACTGGGGGCGGAAAGTAATTGTAACAGGAGGGGGAGGATTTTAAAGTTTATGTCTAAAATAACACCTTTTGAAAAAAGTTTTATTATTTAACAAACAATTTTACAAATACAAAATGGAATTAAGTAACTTGTTTTTTTACGGAAATTGTTGTTGTCTTGGCAAGATTGATGATAATAATGTTGTTGCTGTGGTTTCTGCTGATGATGATGGGAATTGTAAAATTTTAAACACTTGTTCATGCTGAATCATGTTTTCTTTTACACCACAAAAAAAAACACACACACAAACTTAATATTATAATTTTCTTTTAAATCTCATTTAGAATACATTAGCGGTTTATTTATTATACAATAAAAACCATTTTTTTTAAATCACTTTTTATACACCTTATTTTAATTTATTTAAATAACGTAACATTACATACACTACGTCATAATGTTGCAACATTAACGTCTACCAACAGCCACTACAACAAAATATGTTGCTATTTTTTTTCATATTTCGCCTAAAAGTACACAGTGTTATGTATTTCTTGTAACTGGGCCACACTACGTTGCCTTATCCGAACGTTTCTTTTTTATGTGTATAGGAACAACAACACAAATAGGAGTTTGAAAATTTCTTACTACCGTTTCTTCGACCGCTTAATAAAAATTTCAATGACCTATTGTAAGCACGTATATTTATCAACTAAATGTCGTTTGGCATGTGAAAAGGATTTGTATGTTGTCTAAGGACTATTGTTTAACAACTTCACTTAAAGCGCAGGTTCGTTTTAATGCAGGAGTGTCTCAACTTCTAGGAGAGTATATAGTAGTATTACTGTACTAGGTCATATACAATGTTGATAAACAATGTTGTGAAACTTTATAACGGCTGAAGACACAATACAAAGAAATGTAAGCTACTTGTTGGTAAACCACAAAATGTTGTTGGTCAGAAACTAGTCTATAGTCTAGTCTATAGTCTAGTAGTCTAGTCTAGTATAGTCTAGTCTATAGTCTAGTCTATAGTCTAGTCTATAGTCTAGTCTATAGTCTAGTCTATAGTCTAGTCTATAGTCTAGTCTATAGTCTAGTCTATAGTCTAGTCTATAGTCTAGTCTATAGTCTAGTCTATAGTCTAGTCTATAGTCTAGTCTATAGTCTAGTCTATAGTCTAGTCTATAGTCTAGTCTATAGTCTAGTCTATAGTCTAGTCTATAGTCTAGTCTATAGTCTAGTCTATAGTCTAGTCTAGTCTAGTCTATAGTCTAGTCTATAGTCTAGTCTATAGTCTAGTCTATAGTCTAGTCTATAGTCTAGTCTATAGTCTAGTCTATAGTCTAGTCTATAGTCTATAGTCTAGTCTATAGTCTAGTCTATAGTCTAGTCTATAGTCTAGTCTATAGTCTAGTCTATAGTCTAGTCTATAGTCTAGTCTATAGTCTAGTCTATAGTCTAGTCTATAGTCTAGTCTATAGTCTAGTCTATAGTCTAGTCTATAGTCTAGTCTATAGTCTAGTCTATAGTCTAGTAGTCTAGTCTCTAGTCTAGTCTATAGTCTAGTCTATAGTCTAGTCTATAGTCTAGGTCTATAGTCTAGTCTGTAGTCTAGTCTATAGTCTAGTCTGTAGTCTAGTCTATAGTCTAGTCTATAGTCTAGTCTATAGTCTAGTCAATAGTCTAGTCTATAGTCTAGTTATAGTCTAGTCTATAGTCTAGCTATAGTTTAGTCTATAGTCTAGTCTATAGTCTAGTCTATAGTCTAGTCTATAGTCTAGTCTATAGTTAGTCTATAGTCTAGTCTATAGTCTAGTCTATAGTCTAGTCTATAGTCTAGTCTATAGTCTAGTCTATAGTCTAGTCTATAGTCTAGTCTATAGTCTAGTCTATAGTCTAGTCTATAGTCTAGTCTATAATCTAGTCTATAGTCTCGCCCTATAATTGATGTGTAGTTAATCATAATAAAATCTTAATCATAATAAATTTAATAATATCCTTTAAAAATTCAAGAAATGCAATTTTTATATTAAGTGTTTGTAAATCGTATATATGTTATCTCTATAAAAGTATTAAAAATTATTTAGAAGCATATTTTGAACACCCCAAAAACGTTAAACAAACAGGGAAACAGAAAAAACATTTGCGTTATTGGTCTCATTTTTAACTCATCAGCCTGAAAGTTAGACATTTATAACACCTGTCACATTTTGTCATTGTATTTACTTTCCTAACCACACTTTTTGTTTTGGTTTTGTAAGTTTGTGGTTTTAATTTATTAAAAATTCTTTGCTTTCTTAAGACCCGCTGCTTAACAATAAAAGGAAAAAAGATTAATTATAAATAAATTCCAACCATACCTCAATTAATATACATAACTTAAATTATGTTTTTTATGTATAAGTATTTAAATATGTATATTATTTATAAAAACACACACAACAAATACACAGGAACTCAATTACTTCCTTTAAAAATACTCCTCCTCAAAAGTATATTTTTCTTTTAAAAATGTAAATACCATTTGGTGTCAATAATATTAAAGTATAAAATTGATTAGAATTTTATTGGCATCCATATAAATATATACACACAAACACAATAATTCCACTCAATAATATAAGCCATAAGCAAACACACAAACATATATACTCACACACAATCATACATACATAATATAAAGGTAAATGGAAAGAGAAAAATCAAAATTCAAATATATTCAACTTTACACACAAACCTACTTGCTGAACAAACTGTCGCTATATATGAATACACTAATACATTCAGAGACTCCTAAACTTGGGCATAATTTTAACAAACACATTTGCTCATACAACTTAAGCATTAAATGACAACAATTCAAAGTCTGTTTTAAGACTTTTAAACTGAAAAGGTACTGACTTCTACTTCAATTTATTCAATTCAATTGAAGTTCTGGTTTTGTTGGTTGCTTGGTTAGTTAATAGGACAGTTGACTGTTGTTGCTGTTGTCATCATTATTGTTCCGTTCAGTTGAGTTTTGTAGACTCCAAAAATTTTGGTCCTTCAGTCTCTCTATCCTCTTTCACATTATTGTTGTGGAAATGTTATTGCTTTTGTTGTAGTTGCTAACACTTTACTAAATGCTTTTTTCATCTTTATCTACTTCAACAATCTTCTTATCAATTTTGTATGCAAACAATGTCCAAATTGAAGTGGCAAACAATGCAAAATTCAAACATACTCTAACACACTACTACCAGACTCTCTATCTCTAACATAATCATTGACATCATCATTATTATCATTATCAGCTGGATAATTTGTTTGCAGTAAAACAATGTATTAGTCGATTGCTTAGGTATATTGGAGCTAAGTGCTTGTTTGTGTAGATGAGTACGTTTTATTGTGGTAGAAATCAAACTGGTTTTTATTTCAGATATACGAGATAAGCACAGTGGAGCTAAATGAATCAAAATCACTAAAAGTATTATTTATAAACATTTATTAAAATTCATAAAGTCTAGTCCATAGTCTAGTCTATAGTCTAGTCTATAGTCTAGTCTATAGTCTAGTCTATAGTCTAGTCTATAGTCTAGTCTATAGTCTAGTCTATAGTCTAGTCTATAGTCTAGTCTATAGTCTAGTCTATAGTCTAGTCTATAGTCTAGTCTATAGTCTAGTCTATAGTCTAGTCTATAGTCTAGTCTATAGTCTAGTCTATAGTCTAGTCTATAGTCTAGTCTATAGTCTAGTCTATAGTCTAGTCTATAGTCTAGTCTATAGTCTAGTCTATAGTCTAGTCTATAGTCTAGTCTATAGTCTAGTCTAGCACAGTGGAGCTAAATGAATCAAAATCACTAAAAGTATTATTTATAAACATTTATTAAAATTCATAAAGTCTAGTCCATAGTCTAGTCTATAGTCTAGTCTATAGTCTAGTCTATAGTCTAGTCTATAGTCTAGTCTATAGTCTAGTCTATAGTCTAGTCTATAGTCAAGTCTATAGTCAAGTCTATAGTCTAGTCTATAGTCTAGTCTATAGTCTAGTCTAAGCTAGTCTATAGTCTAGTCTATAGTCCTAGTCTAGTCTAGTCTATATTCCTATCTAGTCTAGTCTATAGTCTAGTCTATAGTCCTAGTCTATAGTCTAGTCTATAGTCGAGGTCTATAGTGCTAGGTCTATAGTCTATCTATAGTCTAGTCTATAGTCTAGTCTATAGTCTAGTCTATAGTCTAGTCTATAGTCGAGTCTATAGTCTAGTCTATGTCCTAGTCTATAGTCTAGTCTTAGCTAGTCTATGTCTAGTCGCATAGTCTAGTCTATAGTCTAGTCTATAGTCTAGTCTATAAGTCTAGTCTATTAGTCTAGTCTAAGTCTATAGTCTAGTCTATAGTCTAGTCCTATAGTCTAGTCTATAGTCTAGTCTATAGTCTAGTCTATAGTCCTGTCTATAGTCAGTCTATAGTCTAGTCTATAGTCTAGTCTATAGTCTAGTCTAGTCTAGTCTATAGTCTAGTCTATAGTCTAGTCTATAGTCTAGTCTATAGTCTAGTCTATAGTCTAGTCTATAGTCTAGTCTATAGTCTAGTCTATAGTCTAGTCTATAGTCTAGTCATAGTCTAGTCTATAGTCTAGTCTATAGTCTAGTCTATAGTCTAGTCTATAGTCTAGTCTATAGTCTAGTCTATAGTCTAGTCTATAGTCTAGTCTATAGTCTAGTCTATAGTCTAGTCTATAGTCTAGTCTATAGTCTAGTCTATAGTCTAGTCTATAGTCTAGTCTAGTCTAGTCTATAGTCTAGTCTATAGTCTAGTCTATAGTCTAGTCTATAGTCTAGTCTATAATCTAGTCTATAATCTAGTCTATAGTCTAGTCTATAGTCTAGTCTATAGTCTAGTCTATAGTCTAGTCTATAGTCTAGTCTATAGTCTAGTCTATAGTCTAGTCTATAGTCTAGTCTATAGTCTAGTCTATAGTCTAGTCTATAGTCTAGTCTATAGTCTAGTCTATAGTCTAGTCTATAGTCTAGTCTATAGTCTAGTCTATAGTCTAGTCTATAGTCTAGTCTATAGTCTAGTCTATAGTCTAGTCTATAGTCTAGTCTATAGTCTAGTCTATAGTCTAGTCTATAGTCTAGTCTATAGTCTAGTCTATAGTCTAGTCTATAGTCTAGTCTATAGTCTAGTCTATAGTCTAGTCTATAGTCTAGTCTATAGTCTAGTCTATAGTCTAGTCTATAGTCTAGTCTATAGTCTAGTCTATAGTCTAGTCTATAGTCTAGTCTATAGTCTAGTCTATAGTCTAGTCTATAGTCTAGTCTATAGTCTAGTCTATAGTCTAGTCTATAGTCTAGTCTATAGTCTAGTCTATAGTCTAGTCTATATCTAGTCTATAGTCTAGTCTATAGTCTAGTCTATAGTCTAGTCTATAGTCTAGTCTATAGTCTAGTCTATAGTCTAGTCTATAGTCTAGTCTATAGTCTAGTCTATAGTCTAGTCTATAGTCTTGTCTAGTCTATAGTCTAGTCTAGTCTATAGTCTAGTCTAGTCTATAGTCTAGTTTATAGTCTAGTAAATGTTCCAGTCTATAGTCTAGTCTACAGTCTATTCTAGTCTATAGTCTAGTCTACAGTCTAGTCTAGCCCATAGTCTAGTACATTGTGTAGTCTATAGTGTATTCTATATTCTAGTCCATAGTCTAGTCTATATTAT